TGAATTGCCCCATCAGATACGAGATTTAGATGCTATAAGCTTGTAGAAGGCTGACCATGTACCCTTCAACTCTGCCTGAAACGATACTCAATTACCGTATTGATGCCGTACAACTTACATAAGGAGTCCCAGTTGTTACACTTTGGCGTCCTTTACCAGAAATATTGCCGCTGAATCTCAGAATAGGTTGTACAAATGAAGTCATGGGCTTTTCGTATCCGTGACTTAGTGACAGCTCGGTGGCGGAGTTTGTGTGATAAGTGGAGAAGAATGGGTTGAGATTTCATTCCGAGGCTTAAATCGACTTCAAATCCCTATTTTCGTCTCTTTTACCGAAGAAACTAGATGGAATGCAGCATCAAGAAGCAAAAAGCCGATATCATGTTGATCGACGTCAAACTCGTATTTAGATGTTGACCAGGCCAGGGCCAACAGAACCCTATACTCGGTACTGAAGAAACTTCAACCAATGAGAATTAAGATAAATGTCGTACCTACCTAATCATTCTCATTCTGCATGCACAAACAGATGGGTACAGTAATGCCGAGTACGAGATGGTGGATGATAGGAAATATAGTCAGAAATTTTCCGAGAAAATCCCCCCTTCTAGATTCCGTCGATGGAATACAATTTCTTCGGTATCCACCAACTTTAACTTGCGTATTCATCTCCAGGGGAGACTCGTGAGGGTGAACAATATACAAAAAAGTGAAGATCATCTATTCGTCTAATCTTAAGACCTCCCAAAACGCCGCCCAATGCAACCATATTTTTGCTGTACATAATCCTACATAGTCCTATCATTTATAACCCTTTGTATTCACTCAATTCCCTCCTTTATACAATCGATTCCTGATCCCGCTGCGAGTTGGAATTTTCTAGTCGCTTCAAGATGTATTGATATAACACCAACATACAACTACTTTGCGTACTGGTCCACACAAATCTAGGTCCGACTCCTCGAAATAGTCCCGTTATTCCTTCTGTTTTGTAGATGAGTTTGAGGCCAGTCGGGACGGAAGATGTATCCAGAATTATGCTACCAGGGCGAGGTGTATGCGTGGAAGGAGATGATGTGGATATTGATCGAATTTGATGTTTTGTAGGTTTTGCAGGCTTTGTAGAATTTGTCTTCGTACGATTGGATTGAGAGGGGTTTTTCGTAGATCCTGATGTCTGTTTAGGAGTAGACTCTGGACTAGAAATGACTTGAGTTTGAATCCTTGTCTTCACAACATCCAGCGGACATGTAATTACTCCTGCCAAACCTCCAGCTGCCGCTCCTGTCAAGAGTTCCAATGGCAATCCAATTTCTCGGCTTTCTTTCCATCTTCTCGCCCAAGTTTGACCTTGCTCGTAGAATGCGAATTGTAATGCCGAAAATGGTAAATCTCTAACAATTGTTGCTCTGTATCCATAAAAAAGCGCAGAGAACCCTTCTTGCTTAACTATCGTTCGGGCGGCATGCGCTGTGTTTTTATAATTGTAACCAGAGTGGAAGAATGGGTTGTTGTATCGACCTTGGAGTTGTAGGCGGGTTTTAAGGACTTCAGAAGGTACGTAGACGAAGGAGGCTGCGAAATCGGCGACAAAACCTGAATTGTTAGTTTAATGTAAATTAAACCCAAACTTCTTAAACTTACCACTGGATAGATATGCAAGCCATGGCGGAATGCCATGGTCTATCAGATGCCTCTTACTATACTCATATGTTCCGAAGAATATAATTGTGCCAGGGAAAGATCCCAGAAGAGCAGGAACCCAACCTCCATATAAACCTCTCCGTATTCCTTCTTGTCGCAGAATGGTAGAATATGAGGACGATAGCTTGGTATACTTTGGCGGAACATGCGGATCACCTTGCTGGCGAGTCTTAACCGTATCTAAAGAATGCATGAGAAGATCCCCCGTGGTTCCACCAATACCTCCAGCAATCATGGCCTACAAACAATCAGTAATTTGCCTGTAGACCAAAAACTCCAAATCTCACATGTAAGTAAGGTGGTCGTCCCTCCTCTTCGACCTCTTCCTGTGCCATGACTTTCGACCCAAGTAGTCGTTTTCCCACTCTAACATTGACGTCTTCTTCCCCTCCATCATCAACAATCCCGAATTTGGTGCGATCTTCTGCTGGCGAGCCTGCTGATCCGGAGGAAAACAGGTTGACAACACGAGAGGTCAGGGACATGGCCCTTCCTCAATTTCCGAAGCTGGTCGCCTTCCTAGTCCTCAAGTATTCAAAAGAGCGAGTTTTCTGTTACAGCGTTGGTGGGCAAACACAAATCATTTCAGTTGGGTGTCACAAATGTTTTTGATGCACTTCAACTTTTTTTGCCGGAACCTTCCACATACGTGTGTGCCTGATTAAGGTTAAGGCACTTTTACATGAAACGTGGGGTTATCCCCCGGTGAACCCCTCCATCTCTGAGCTACAAGTTCTAACACGAATCGTCAAAAGATCTTCTATTTGCCCTTGATTCCGACCACCTACTATTGATTTTCTCCTATCATTGACTGGCTAAGTTATAATTAGAGACAAACATAAATCTTTATCAATATTATCATTAACTAAGGTTAACCTTTCCTTTCACTCAACCCTTTCTCATCGTTTCGTCCGCCTGTGCGGAATTTTTCCCAGATCCAAATCTCCTCTCTGTCCTCCTCTTTGCCCTTTCGCCTCTTTCCTTGATCCTCTCTTCATCTCCTTAGCTGCCTGTTTCCTATTTCCAACCACAAGAATATCTCTACTATACCCTCTCATATCATCTTGATTAAAAAAAGACGAGCCGTGGCTCAGCATCAAGACGCGCACGACGGTCTTAATATCTCGGTCGGAAAGCTCTTTGAAAAGCCCAAAGATTCCGGTCGGCCAAAAAAAACCATTAGATGACTCGGATGTGGACGTGAACAGGAGTTGAATGTCGATTATGATGTATAGAACTGGGATGCCTTCCAGCACAGATGCGAGGAGATTCAACCAGTCTGCCTCGGTTTTGGCGGAGAGGTACATTTGTAAGCGAGAGTAGAGACTGATTTCGGCATGGAGAGTTGTATTGAGGTTGATGGCTTGGAGTATGAGGCTTTTGATAATATCGATTGTGGTTGTGTTGCCCATTGGTGTCGGCGTCTGAGGTTCGCTTGTCTTCAGTGCCCATATTACAGGTATGTTGGACTCTCGAAGCAGTTGTATGGCGTTTGCAGAAAACTTTTTCATGTCATTCCGCAGTCTGTGGCTTCCTTTAACCATCAAAAGTGAAGATGATATGCTTGAATTCCAATTCTGCATTTCGGGAGCCAACCAGAAAGCTGAGCCGTCTGCTTGACGCGCGTGTTGTCGTTTGCGAGCGAAGAAATATATCTGGAGACTCTTCGTTGGATCTAGAGTAACATTTAAGCTGAGGTTGTTGATGAAGTTCATCAGCTGCAGTTGGGAAAGCTGTTGGTGCATCGAGACTTGTGCGCTCGAGTTGAGAGTCTGGGCAGTCACCACAGCGGTCTTGAGTTTACAAAGCTCTTGGGAGATCTTTGTAAACTTGTCATCGACCTTATCTTCTAAAATCTCTTGCTTCGACATCATGTTCTTCATCACAGAGTGCATATCTCGCTGTTCTGCAAAACTACTGAGTTGGGCTGTAGTGGAGATACTTTGCGACAGAATTACAATCTTCTCAACGAGATCGTTGTATTGAATTTGGGGAGGCCGCGTGACTGAATGGATAATATGAAGAGCCCTGCTCTCTTTGAACCAGGATAGTGAGACTGTGAGAAGCTTTATGATCTGAGCATTGAGCATGATCATATATTTACGCATCTGCACTGTGGGGTATAAATTCACTGTATTCTCCATACGAGGAAGGACGTCTGCTACTTGACACAATCCGTCCGTAATTATTGCAAGAGACTTCTCATGATTTACGACACCCTATATCAAGTCGTCAGACAATTCTCAGCAGCGTTTGAGGGGCTCACACACGACTAACACCAGCTTCATGGCATCATATACAAGCGAAACATACTCTGGTGACTGTTGCACTAACGCATCCATGACGGTGCCATAGCAGTGTACCTTTTGGGCAAAGCTTGTGAGACATCGCCGGATTCTGGAATCTCCTCGTCGGTCTTCATACTGCAGTTGTGCTGTTGACACACACTTGACTATATCGTCAAGCGTGCTCGGTTTGAGGTCTAAGAAAGATTCTAGCTGCGAGGACTTCTTAGGAAGAGTAGCAATAAACTCGGCTTTAGCTTCCTCGAAGATATTCTCAGCCCAATCAGTGCTACTACCAGAGATTAGCGCGGTTTTCACGGCCCTGGGAGACATACTTGTTGGCGCCGCTATAATAGGAAGCATATGCTGCAATATCAGACATTCTCGAGTGTACAGTTTGAACTTTGACATTGTCTCATAAAATGTTCGACAGAGAAATATATAATCAATTTCTTCAGCCCGTCGTAAGGCTATGCATACCGCAACTGCGCCTCAAGAATGGCTTTTCAGCCTAATCATGAACGCGTTATGTGTAGACAGGCTCTAGCCAGACTGAAAAAACTGGCTGCGGCAGATATACAGCTCATACGTGGCAAGCCTAAACAGTGAACTCGATTCAGTAGCTCATGTGGTGCGATCGCAACCCATTCCGGTCTTCGGAGAGTGGTGGATTGAATCCGCCTTGTGCAGCTCGTAACACTTTTCGAGAGGAAAAAAATTCCTGCTGGATAAATCATTTGAGTCTCGAATCTAGGTCAAGTTATTACGAAATCTCAACGACTTGTCAGATAATTATATACATTCTCTAAACTATTATATAAAACTCCTTAGTTTATGATAGCTGTATTGTGCTACTCTTTCAGGCCCCAGAGGGCCAGAGGGTTTTATTCGTAATGATCATATCATAATGACCTGTGGACAAAAGTAGTAAGCAAAGTAGTACCAAACCCGGTATACCCCGTTTTGTCTCGCAGTCTTTGTCCTCCATGTACTCTACTAACACATAGGCATATGGATTCTGAGATAGCCCATATCTCGCGCTCCTCGCGGTTGAACAACCCAGTAAAGCTCGATACAAGAAGTAAGGTGGAGGTACCGGCAGAAGTATGGGAACCGTACAGAGATGGCCGGAGCTTTGGTGGTCGCACGAACCCTGAGAAAGCCAAATCCGAGAAGGACGAGGAGGTCCAAAACGACGAGGAGGGTCAGACCTGGGACGAATACGACGATGAATACGACGATGAATACGACGATGAATACGACGATGAATACGACGATGAATACGACGATGAATACGACGATGAATACGACGATGAATACGACGATGAATACAACGATGAATACGACGACGAGGGCGATGACGAGGGCCAGGAAGATAGACCAGATGAAAACGAAGACCAGGGCACACCCGCAGGTAAAACCATCAAACATAGCAAACCAAATTTCATCAAGGATTTCTCAGATATTTCTAGCACTTTAACACCTGAGCAATGGAGACCGGAACCCGAGAGTGCAAAACTGCCAGCTCCTCTGTTGAACGTTGGGAAGACTCGGATTACGATATCTGATAATTTGAGCACCGACGAGAACAAGAAGAATCGGCGTCTCTTGGCTTTGAAGCCCAGATCACCAAAGCCTGCTTCTAAATTGAATCTCGACATATCTGGTGAGGCATCCCATCCTTTTTGTACTAGTTCGAGTGATTTTCTAATGATGTGCACATAATAGACAATCAACTCGAAAGCTATAACCCTGGTGAGATAGGACCAGGAGTACCAGGAGGATTACAGGAGACCCACATACTCCAGGCAAACCACGCATCGCAGGAGAACCACACACTGCAGGGAAACCACGCATTACAGGATTATCAAATGCAACTGATGCTCCTAGAGCAGCAGGAGAAGAAACGACTTATAATGGCCAGGCAGGAACAAGCGAACGAAGTTTTTGGCGGCAGCGAATATCACGGTCCGGTAACGTATGGCTATAAAATACTTCAAGCCAATGGTCATGACTCTCTCAATCACAGTGATCAGATGAAGAGAGGACCGGCCCACATGGATAATTTTGGTATGACATCATTGCCTCTACCTGAAGGTCAAATTATCTGCTCTGAAAGCGGCTCGGACAGCGGCGACTTCAACTATGACCCATATGGCTATCCAGATGATTCGATCATGAACTCTCCATACTTGAACAAAATGAGCCCAAATAATATCGATATCTCCGGTATACGTCCTTCAAGCTCTTATCCTGTAGCTGCCTCCAATCAAATGACCCCACAACAAATGACTATGATCCAGCAACAAAACGCACTGCAAAATCAACAGCAAATGGCTATGAACCGTCCGCAAACTTTCTCCCATACTCAAAATGAACCCTTGTCACCTCGAGTGGATTCTGTTATCGATCTGTTCTCAGCCTTGGGGATCGATGCTATCACGATGGGCGTTCCTTCAGAATCTTTGAATAACGTCCAAGCCTTTCGAGAGTATCTATTACAGGTGATACAAGCCAAGAAGCCAAACCGGTACCTGATATTACATCGTATCAAGGGGAAAAAAGATCAAATATACTTTGATCCACCAGAATGGGTTGTGGGACAGTCTCATACGAGAATCTTGAAGTCGAGGCTACCATTGTCCAACTTAACGGATTATCTCGACAAACATACCGACATCAGCTTTATCGTGTTTCGTGACTACGAAGAGAACGACATGCCAACGAGCAAAGAGATGACCGCAGCGGCAGTAGACAAGGACACTGGTATTACAAAGTCTCCGGTGCACAAAGAAGAAAAAATACTTGCAGTATCAGAAGAGTTGACGGAGGCGATAAAATCGATACTGAAATTCAAGCCAAACTTTTCAGATCTGTTAATATTGATTGAGAAAGATGGGGCAGAGCTCCCGTCGCCCTTTGTCTTCATCTACCATTCGCGAGCAGTTATTAAAAGGTTGATGGAGGACACCTCTGATCCCAGCGCGGTCCGACAGCTGAAGCTCATGATTGATTACATCTACAAGAACTATGGAAAAGAATATGACACTGCGGATACCATGTTTGACGAATCCCGTGTTGCTATGCCATATGTCAAGTACCTGTTCAAGCCAGGAGATGTGCTGGTGAAAGGCACGGGCGCTGACTTAAACGGTTATGTGTTGGAGACTTGGCCGCTAAAGGTCACCTCAATTACGGCAGGTCTGAAGGAAGATGGGGAGAAGAAACCTCGCTCACAGTATACAATGGAAGTCCACTCGTGGTCATTTGACGGTGCCTTCAAACGGGTCAGCACTCGGCTTACATTAGAAATAGATGGAAGTGAAAAGACAGAATATGCTATCGGAGATTTGAATGTCAGACCAATTACATATGCCAGTGACGAGGACAGGAAAACACTTCAAAGTCGCGGAGAAATGTTCTGGAAGTGTAGAGAGAGACATTTCGTGTCATATCAGGAGCATGGTCGTGGCGATTTACACGGCGCCAGTGAAGAAAGATATATGATCGACATGAAGACATTGCGCGAGCTCCACCCAGAAGATGAGAAGAAAAAGAAGGCGCCCTACCCAGAAGATGGGAAGAAAAAGGCCTCCAATACTTTAGATGAAGACGCCATGGCGCAAGACGGCCCCCCAGATCCGAGTTTCGTGTACTTGCTTCCTCAAAAGATCACTGGCTACAACATGCGGCGCAAAGAATGGGTCGAGCTCCATGCCGATTGGTTATCCGAGGTGATTTGGGACAAGAAGGCGTTCAAAAAGTTGGTGCTTGCGCGGAAGACGAAGGACTTGGTTGAAGCTTTGATTGTCAATCAAATTGCAGCCGAGAAATCGACGGATCTGATCAGTGGAAAGGGCAATGGTCTCATTCTTCTACTACACGGAGGGCCAGGTACTGGCAAGACTCTAACTGCAGAGAGTGTTGCCGAAATTGCAGAGAGGCCTCTATATAGGGTCACTTGTGGAGATATTGGATCAGAGCCTGAAGAAGTCGAACAGTACCTCTATTCAGTGCTAGACTTGGGCAAAGCCTGGGGTTGTGTCGTTCTGCTCGACGAAGCCGACGTCTTCCTTGAAGAAAGAAGTATGAGCGACATTAAAAGAAATGCACTTGTATCTATTTTCCTCCGCGTTTTAGAATATCATGATGGTATCATCATCCTCACTAGCAACCGTGTTGGCACTTTCGACGAAGCGTTCAAGTCGCGCATTCAACTTGCCTTGCACTATCCATCACTGACAAAAGTCAAGCGCTACGAGATTTGGACAATGTTCATAACGCGGCTCCGAGAGCTTGGAGAGACGCAAGTCGACTTTTCAGACCTAGAAGATCATCGGTGGGACTTGGCGGACTATAAGCTCAATGGACGACAGATTCGAAATGCGATTCAGACATCGCGGCAATATGTGTCTTGGAAGGACACGAAGGAGAAGACGACGTTGAATTTTGAGATTTTGAAAGAGATTATCGAGATTTCAGGAGAATTTGATGTCTATATAAACAAATTGAATAATGGGATGTCTCCGGATCAATTAGCTGAGGAGGATGGGCTAAGACTTGCAGAAGTCAGAGAGTGAGAATACATATCTATGTTTAGTCATATCGAGTTTTAAAAGGTTGAGATTTACGAGTAGCTTGTCTAATCTTTTGGATACTGGAATTATACAGCCTGGCAAAACCTTGCAAGTCTTTGTCCTAGTATTGGTACCAACTTGGTTAATAAGTGAAAAGTAATATGTCAGTACAAAATACCGTAAGTAATGATGAAAGGGTTTCGGTGCACAATCGATAATTATTTGATTTTCAACAATCTAAATAAATCCCAAAATTATATGAAATGATATAAACTCAAAACAAACTAGTCATGGAGTGAATTTGGTTAATTCAGCTATTGTTCATATATATAAAATTATGTAACCAAAAGTAAGGATGGCACCAGCGAGGGGGGGAGTGGGTACACATAACACGCTCTCTCGCCTCCGAGCTACAAGTTTCAGGCTTTGTGTGCATTTCATATGCCATATAGTCTATGGTTGTAATCGTTCTTGATCATTATTAACTATGGGAAGCTAGTACTTATATAAGGAAGCGCTATCGCCTTGCTAGCTAATACAATGCCCTCTGTGATCACATGATCGATATCCCGACACCTAGGAAAACCTTCTGTCACTGAATTCTCTTGATGAACTCGAAGAGTGGTTTTGGAGCACCCACTCTTGCTGGGGGAGCTCTGTAGACATGACGGCCATTCTCCCAAACCAACGTATCTGCAAGATAAAGTGATCCACCCCAAGCCTGATTTAACTCCTCAAACAAATCTTTGTAGATTTGAATAATCTTCTCCTTAGGAATATTCCGAAAATTGTATTTTAGGGGCATACAAATATGATCGAGAAGATCTATGTAACTTTCGGAATATAGTATTCTTATAATCATTTTGCATGACCAAGTTCGTGCACTACCGAGCGATCGCAATTGATCAAACTGGAATTTGCCATTCAATTTCTCTTCCAGAATAAGCTTAAGTTGGAAAGGCGGTATAATGATAGTTATAGATTGCAAAAGTCCATCTCGAGCCATTGCGTTCATCGTTGAGATTGATTTGGACATGTTTGACAGATCAATTTGAAAGCGGCAATCGAATTGTAAAGTTATTTCGATGTTTCTGATGAGTCTACGAGAGATCCAACTCATAGATACGAGTGACTTATGTGCATTATTGATGCACCCAAGTCCAAAGATAGCACGATTCCATAAAAGTTCCTTAACTTCTCGATAAATTCTCGGGTGAACTCGCAACAGCGGTGATTTAAACGTCTTTCTTGACAAGTTGTTGGTTGCACAACGTTCAGGTAGTTCAAGGCAACATTTCGAAGGATGACAACTCGAACACATTACGTCAAACTCAGATGGGAGGAGAATGTGATCATAGATCATGAGGCGAATTTCGGGAGTGATACCCACTAAAGAGGCTGGTTTATACTGTGGTTTCGACCACAAAGCTTTCGAGGGTAGATCGGCAGTGCTTTGCCTACGGCTAATCTGAGATTTGCTACTGTTGTAAATCGGTAATGAGGAATTCGAGGGACAACCGGTAGTGCTATATCTGCGGGCGATTCGAGGTTTCTCATGAAGTAACTTCAATTTCGCAATGATTAACTCCAAAGTCTCAATCATTAATTCCAAATTCTCACGCCTCTTTTCAGAGTTGGATTTGAATCCGAATTCCTCCATGATTGACTGCAAGCAAGAATACAGAGCAATTATAGACGATATTGCTGCTTCTAAAGCCCAAATTACAATTGTAAATGATACAAATAGAAGACATAAACTAAGATTTGATCGAGATGTTATATAACGATAGACTAAGAATAAAATATCGTGAAATAAATTAAAATCCATTAGGTCGTTCGAAGTCTGAAGGGAGTGCTCAGATTTTATGTACGATTATTTAAATTCAATGATGGAATAGAAAGGAGTTGAAGTATTGTGAAGATGAAAGTATTAGAATATTAAGTAGAAATGAATAAAGAAAGAGGAAAGGAAGAAGGAACAGAATAGAAAAAGAAGATTTCTGAAAAGATTAAATAGTTTGTGGGAAATTTCAAAGAAGACTAGATGAAGATTCCCCATGGGAGTCATATTGGCTACTACCTATGTAAGCTTAAATATCTAGCTCCCGCTTTTAGCGTAGATAAGCGAGAATCCATCTTGATTTCGAGAGACCATCCAAGATAGAAGTGGGAATTTGAAGAAAATATGGAAATTTAGAAAATTCTTCGAACAAACTAGATACCACCATAAACGTTAGCTTCTTAAATTCTGGCAGACGCAAGTGTCTAGCTGTCTGCGATCAGGAGATACCTGGTGTCATATTGTGACTGGCTATCACGTGATCAACGCTATTTCTTATTTCGTGACTATTCGTCTCCAAAACCAGCCATTCGTGCTCCACCGACCTATAAGCTCTAGCTCTATACTCGCCATTTCTCTATGAAGTCATGAAGCTCCCCCTTCGTAACCTTTCCCGATCCACATCAATCATATTCCAACCAATTTCACGTGCATCTTTTCCAGCAACCTTTCGACAATCAAATTCTCCCCACCAAATCCGCGCTTTCCTAGTCTCCACGCCAAGAGCTCTCCATACAGATAACCTTACATCGAGACAAAAAGCCACTGGAGGAGAGAAATCCCGATCAGATGTAGCCCCACAGAATACATTTTCAGAAGAGATTGGCGACTTTGCAAAAAAGCATACCGAAGATGTCCCCCAGCAATCTACACCCTCTGTTACAGCAGTGCAGGAATCACTTAAACCTCTCTTGAGAGAAAATGGTGGGAAATGGGTTTTGGCAGATGATGGAATGTCTGTGGAGAGGGTCATAACATTCAAAGGATTCAAAGATGCCTGGGTTGGTTTTTTCTTCTGTCTTTTCTGAGGGCCAAAAAGCATTTGTGGGAATATGCATTTGGGATGCAAACTGATGGGTTATGATTTCAATGGCCAGAAACCATATAGAGATTGCCTCCTTCGAGGACAACAAGATGATAAGTAATCATCTGATATCTCTCTTTCACTCTGTTCTCCCATGGAAATCTACGAAATCTCCACCTCTTCCAAACCCATTTGCATTCTATTCCTAAATCCAAGCCCAAAATATAAAAAGATCCACTTCACTAATCCAATACACACTCCACAGAACTTCATGAACGCCATCGCAGCAAAATGCAAACAAGAAAGACATCACCCAGAATGGGTTAACGTAGGTCTCTTAACATCTCCCACTTACAACCCGTTCTCTTCTCTTCAATCGTCTAATACTCCCCAGATCTACAACAAAGTTTTCATCCGCTGGACCACGCATGATCTTCCCGGTCTAACAGCCACTGATATTCTCATGGCCAAGTTTTGCGACGAGCAAGCTACAATACACAAAGAAGTATACAACGTCCCAAAGGAACCCTTCTCGGAAAATACCCAGCACGAAAAATTTCTCAATCAAGCTCATCAGATCGCTAATAAGTTATCGTCGAAATGATAAAGATTGATTGAACATGCCCAGACCTTGAGGGAAAAGAAAATCCATGGACATATCAGGGAGTAGGTGTAAGAATACATGTAACAGAAGATTCATTGAAAAGGTATTTCTGGGGTCCAGGCCGGGCGTGGAAAGATATCATGATGAAAAATGACGTGGGAAGAAGAAGTAGGATGAAAGAGAAAAACCAATACGACCGAATTGAGGCTAGAAAATATTGATAATGGAAAATCATGAAGGGATAACACACATGAATTGTGAATATTCAGGAAACTATGGTACATAAAAGAGCAATAACTGCATAAATTACGAACATCTATCAAGAACCCATCCCATATTATATTAACTCAGAGCACACCTTAGACTTCTCCCATAACGCCTGAAGCACCCAGCAATAACCACAGCTCTCTCTGCAAATTACACGTTAACAAAACACAGTCATCGCTGAGATTCCTTCTCCCTTCTAGCTGCAATTTCATAGAAAAGACTTCCATCATAAATTCTCCTGATATCATCTTTCTTCATCTTTCCATCTTTAGGGGATAACAAATGCCACGTTGCGCTCCCTAACATTCATTAGTACTAATTCCTCAGTCTCCACTCCCAAAGACCCCCCTCGACAGAATAAGAAAAGAGATCAAACATACATTCCAGAAGCGCAGCTGCCCAACCTATCACATCCAAAACATTTCTCTGGCTCTTTACATACGCAAAGATCTCCGCCTTGGTAATATCCTGCTTATCACGGCCTGCATATTTACTGAAGAGATCTTCAAAATGCTGAGGGATAAAACGTCCTTCGTGATCAAAGGTTCCGGAATCACTCCCGTGTTTACCTTTGTGGATTCTCTCTGTGTGGATTCTGAGCTTGAAATCTGGAATCCATTGTCCTGGGGGGAGAGTCGGATATGAGAAGATGCTATTGATAATCATGGCTGAGCCGACTGCGAGGAGGGGACTCCAGCCGAGACGACGAAACCCGTTGTAGGTATCGCGGGGAGAAACGATACCGTCTGAATCGGGGTCGAAGAAAGCGACGTGTTGTTGGAGGACCTGGGTTGAGGTTAGGAGAAGTAATAAAGAGGGGGTGCGCATGGTGTCCAATAACCTGGACTAGCAGTCTAGATGTAAGCGATCAATACTTTGAGTGAAGTCAGAACTTCAAATTAATCAAGTGTTCTGATTTGATTGAGATATTGAAAGCATCGAAACATCAAACAGCAGTCCAGACGATTGGAAACCATAGCACGAGAGAAAACGAACAGTCAAATGCTTATTACGCTCCGCATAATTATCCTTAGTCGTCCCATGTGGTGATTCATAAGATGCCGCGATAGTTGCTCTTGCAACTCCTATATCATTGCCTCATATTAGTAAAACTCCCTCATCCGCACAGAAAAACATTGCACAAACCTGCTTGACGCAACCGCTCACTTCTGTGCTTCCCAATTGGAAACCCCTCCTCGCAAGTGTCGTCCTGCCAAAATGGCAGTCTCTCCTCTGTAACAGGACATTCTTCGATCGCCATCTGGAAATCGGGTCCTGGATTCTCGTGCATATCAGGTCTGTGCCAAATTGGAAATCTCTCATCTGTAGTAGGGGGTTTTCTGAATGGCATCTCGGAACTTGGTCCCGAATTCTCACGGTCGTCGTCGAATGAGCTTGAGTCGGTTCTTGTTGGCGCCATGATGTTCAAGTTGTTAATGGTTTCTTTTTAATTGTTTGTAGATAATAGTATTTTTTATCTTGTTTCGAGGAAGGAGTAAAGGTACATCCATTTTATATATTTTCTTCGTTGCCATTACTTCTCATTCTTTTTATAATATGACTTCATCAAAAAGTCCGAACGAAGGAACAACCCAAGTAATGTGATGTCAAAGAATTCGTCAGTCAGTCGCACTTAAGACAATGGGTAATGATCATTTGATATCACATGATTGGGTTAATGAGCAAGACACTCGCTCGGATACTCTGGTGTCTACTGAGTACTTTTAGAACTATAACTAATTAGTCTATGACGTAACCTAATTAAGCTTAAGCCAACTCCTTAGCACGAATATAGGTATTACATGATACCTTTTTTGACATGTGATGTAAAACTCTGGCACGGTGCACATGTGTGAACCTTGAGGTTACAATAAAGTATAAAACCTTAATCGCTTGTAAAAATGGATTTGTTTGGCATGATATACCTTTTCCCCCAATCGTTTGAATAAGTTCCGTCTCCAGCATGTGAGGGAAGTGTAACATGATACCAAGTAGTAAAAGTCACATATATTTCTCCGATGACCTCTTACACATGTACCAATTCAGCACCTGGTAGAGTTTCGTAAGACCTTACATTCTCCCCCAAGGATTGAAAGCTGTTATCACTGAAAAACAGGCCCGAAAATGATAGCATTCTCATCACATCAGAGTTTCTCAATGTCTGAACCGTTATTTCCTATCGAAAGCAGGTACCTGTCGATTTGAAAGAGGAGTGACGCCCGAATCGAATTTTGTTGCAAAAGAATGGCCTATGCTTCTTGTTGTTCCATTGTTACATTCAAAGTAGCCTGAAAATCTGATTCTTCCCTCACAACAAAATATGTTCTCGTTGTTCCCCGATTAATTGTACAACGAAATCTCAAGTCTTGCCACTATTCCCCTTTGGCCCACCTCTCAAATTCCGCCACCATTTCCGGGGTTATTTGCCTCTTAATCTTGTTCATTGCCGCGAGGAAATCGTCCATAACCGCTGGTTCCATTGTCCCATGCTTTTTACGTCGTTCAATAGCCTTATCAAAGGCTTTCTGGCAGATACTGACCATTTCAGCTCCTGAATACCCCTCTGTTAGGCGAGCAAGTTCGGTTACGTCAACATCTTCTCCCATCGTAGATTTACGTTGTCTAGCACGAATGATAGCTTCTCTGCCAGCGAAATCTGGTGGTGCAACGTAGATAAGTTCATCGAAGCGACCTGGTCTCAAGAGAGCTAAGTCTAGATCTTGTGGTTTATTGGTTGCTGCTAGTACGGTAACGCCCTTTAAACTCTCAATTCCGTCCATTTCGTTAAGTAAAGTGGTGAGAACGTTGACTCCGTTATTCGAATTCTTTCCATCTCTTTTGCTACCAATAGATTCAATTTCGTCAAAGAAGATAATACTTGGAGCTGCGGCTCGTGCACGAGAAAAGACGTTACGAACGGCTCGTTCAGAGTCACCGACATACTTGGAGAGCAGCTCTGCGCCTTTGACGGCAAAGAAATTAAAACCCATTTCGGTAGCAACGGCTTGGGCGGTGAGTGTTTTGGAACATCCAGGAGGTCCATAGAGGAGAAGACCTTTTGTTGGTGAACGGCCAAAGTCTAGCATGATTTCTTGGTGCTGTAGTATTGTCAGTATGAATTGAATCTTCCAGCTGCTTTGAATTTCTCAAGACGTTTGAGCATCCCGTTTTATTTGATCATCTCAAAATATTTGAGTATCCCAGTTGATTTGAATTTCTCAATCCACTTGGATGTTTGGATAAGGGTGAGACCATGAGATGGGCAATAACTTACGAGGAAAGGCGTTTCGATAGCAAGCTGAATAGCTTCTTTGACTTTGTCTTGTCCTCCAATATCACTCCACTTGACCTTTGGTGGTCTTAAAGTAATATCATGCATTGCACTTGGTCTGACCTCCAGAAGTGCATGCTCGATATCCTCTTTAACGACGAATGTCTGCTGGGGCACATTATCTTCATCTAACTTCTCTTCTGCAAACAGTTGTGCTTCGTCCAATAAACGAGAGAGATCCTCAGGTGTATATGCATGTGTTCGTTCTCCAAGATCATCGAGAATCTCATCGCGAGTTTCAGGGCACATTTGAGGATCCAGAGACTTGAGAATAGCTTTCCGAGCAGCTGCATCTGGGACAGGTAAAGCAATAGCTGTAGTAAATCTGCCTCGTTTTCGTAATGCAGCTGGTAGTTTAAGCATGTCTGATGTCGACGCTGCCACCAGAACTTGTGGCAAAGAATCCGAGGGATGATCTTTCATAAGATCTTCTAATCCTTCGCAAATAGCATCTGTCATATCGAGTAATGGTTCACCCCCTTTTGCGACTACAGATTCAATATCATCTATAATTATAATACTTGGCTGGTTGACTTTTGCATCCTTGAAAATTTTCTGGACTTCAGATGGCTTGGTTTTCCGGTCAATTCTGCGAACTTTCCCCCATTCTGTGCTGGCGATTTTATCCAGGACGAAACTCTTGCCTGTTCCGCTTCCACCATGTAAAAGAACGGCTGGTGATCTACGAACTTTGGTAAAATAGAATTGGCGGTTAAAATTGCTCAGGAACTTGTTAAGCTTTTCGAGTGCTTGATCAATGCCTGCAATATCAACAACTTGAAGTGGTTTTTGCTCAACATTGCTTGCAGCTAACATGGCCCCGCTGATTTCTGCAATTGTTCCAATTTTGAAGGATGATACCCCTTCATGAAAGGCAGCAACACCAGATTTCGAGCCGTCGATAGAAAAGACTTCAAAGGTTCGCCTTTCCCTTCTGAGCATCACATCTCTGAAGGTCATGCCAGGGTAAACCAACTCAGCGCGAGCTGTGATCTTGTCAGTCATGCACTGAGCAGAGGAAATGTGAAATCAAGAATTCTCGGCCTGTTGAAGGTACAAAATCATGAGATAATGGAAGAAAACTCCTACCTAAGAGATCGTCCAGAACAAACTTCCAGGCAACCTCAGCATCTCCTGTCAATTCCCGCATAACCCCTTCAACCATACCGACATCCTTAATTAGAATCTCCTTTGCAACCTCCAACTTTGCTCCTCTAGCAACAATCACATCGTCACTTAATTTGAACCCACATGCCTCTTGGAAAGCCTTGCTGACTTGCACAACTTTCCTACTTAGTTTTTCTGTGGCCAACCAAATTACCGCCTCTCTTCTTGTGTGTTCGCCCTCAGAGCTTTTCCATAAATAGCACGTTTCTCCGTTCTTAACTTGAAGATCCAAAAGAACGTCTGTACAAACATATACACGTGCTACATTTCTGAAATCCGGCCTTTCTTGAGATTGCGCTTGATATGGACGAACTTTTAATTCTAGAATTTTTTCGGCTGTCATCTTGATCTCTTGTATGAATGTCCCAGAATTTGCTGAATAAACAAAATTGCCAATCTTATGGATTTGAAGAAAAAGAAAAGATGAAGAAGGAAAAATATAAAAGTCTGCCCAAGTGGTCAATGGAGGGGTAGAAAGTAAAATAAAATTATGGTCAGCCTTGCCAAGGAACATGGGTACATCTTTAAAGTGTGTTTACCGCTTTTATTCTGCCGATCAAAGTTCCCCAAAACCAATTAATTTTCCCCATCCCCTCCAGCCATGGCCCCCTCTTCAACCATCCCTCTCACGACCAATGCACTCCTCTCGCCTTCTTCCCCCCCCATTCCTCCTCCCATCATGGAATACCCGACAACTACAATGTCTCTTTCAACGGCGTCACGTATACCAAAAGACACGCATTCGCAACCGCGGCGGAGAACCTCCAAAACCAAAAGGCGAATCTCTCTTTGGAGCACGACGTCTCGACCTTACTCCAACTATTAAACCACCTACTTCTCTTTTCGAAGAACTCTTCCCAGAAGAACAACAGAAACCTCCTTCATCTTCACCGCCCTCCAAACGTTTCAAACCCCCACCTCCGAGGTTTCCAAAACTGCCTACATTTGACTGGATATCTAATATCGAGACATTTGACGAAGCGGAAGTGCGGAGACGAGCTGCGGAGAAAGAGAGGAAGGATTGGAATATTGTGGGAAAGGAGAGAGGAAGTGAAGAGGAGGATGCGGTTCAAAGGCGGGAGGCTAGTGTGTTGATTTTGAATTGCGCGAGTAAGACATTGGAGGAGAGTGACTTTTTTAGATTGAGTCCGAAGGGTGAACATATTGAGGGTTGGACGAGTGGCATCATTAAGAGTGCGTACTCCTTGTTTTATATTCCTATTTTATGTCTACATGGAAACGTAGCTGTGTTTACATATAGCTAACTTTATCTTCAGTTATCCCTGGGCGCGATCCCCAAACTCTCGAGTCCCTAGGTCACTACTTCGTTCTCTTCAGTTCGCGCGCTGCGGCTCTGGCCTACTTCCACCGAACTATTGAACTACACACCCTCTCTCGAACCTACAGCCCTAACAGCATCCCTCTCCCACTTCAAACCTCCAATCGCTCCTCTCGAAGCCCCGATCGTCCCCCTTCAACTCTCCCCCACTCCCCAACCGAACTTCAAAATCTTCTCAAGAACTTCACCCTCGTCCCCCCATACACACGTCTTTCTCTACGCATTCTTCCAAAACCTTACCGACCAGCGATAACCACCCTTTTAGCAACCGGCGCTCCCACCACGCTCACACAATCCCGATCCCAATCCCACACCATCGACACTGTCCTCTTCACACTCACCATTCCCAGCATTGGACTCAGTTCCTGGGGTCTCCAAGAAATCCTCAACGCAGACGGTAAACGTCGCAACCTACATTGGCGCTTTGCTCAATCTGGGGCCATCATTCGTGTTGGCGAAAAGATCGATCCTGCAACTGGAAGTGAAAAAACAGAAATAGGTTATCGAGGAGAAAATATTATCGAAAAGAAGAAAGCTTATAATACGAGTGGAAGATATATAATCTCGTTTATGGATCGAGCCGAAGCGAGAAGATTTGTGAGAGAATGGCATAAGAGACCTTGTCCGTTGCAAAAGGAGTATAAAGAGGGAGATGAACCACCTCCGATTGCTAATGTCGAGATTATGTGGTAGTGGGTGACGGGAAAGGAGAAGGCGAACGTCTTGGAAGTGAATGGAGATGTGAGAAAGAAGAAAGGAGTTCTACGGAAGTGATGTTAGTAATGATGTGTGGTCACTTATTTTGAAATCGAAAGAAGACACCTTTTGAATCACATCTCGCCACACCGTTTCACATCTCACCCCCTCACTTAGGCGAACAAATAATCAATAGTGAAGCCAAGATGGGATAAGGAATTCTTGGGAGGAAGAGCATCAATATCATGCCATGATATAACATACTACAATATATCAAAGATAAGAATAAACATCACTACAGAAGTACAAATCCTACCTATGTTGTACTGTAATCATACAATCCAATTGCTACTAGAAGAGATATATCTAGATGCAATCTATCTATTCATTTATCTATCTGTCTGTCTATTGTACATTTTAAAATATAGTTGTCCCTACCCATATGGATATATATTTTAGAGTTATTTTATATAGAACGAAGAACGAAATAAAAGTAATTAGTATATATGAATATATTAAGTAATAATTATACATGTAATACAAAAATGATATACTATATCTTTTTACTTCTTATTCACTTATTATATATCTATTTCTAATATATAATATATAATATATAATATATAATATATAATATATAATATATAATATATAATATATAATATACAATTATACTTATTATAATTCAATTCAATCTCATCTCATCCTATCTCATTTCATTCTATCTCATTTCATCTCATTCTCTTTTATCCTCTCTCATCTCACCCTCTAATATCAAATCCATCTCCTAATATCAAATCCATCTCCTAATATCAAATTCATCTCCTAATATCAAATCCATCTCCTAATATCAAATCCATCTCCTAATATCCTATTCACCTACCTATCTATCTATCTATCTATCTATTTACCTATTTATAAGTATATATCTATATATCTCTACTTCTATTTATATTTATAGTACAAACTAATATTCAACCCTTACTTCCTTAACTTTCTATTACCTCCTTACTTTCAATCCTTACCTCTTTATTCTTATCCTCTTACTTTTATTCTCTCCTTTCCTCTCACCTCCCCTTCTCTCTTCTCCTCTCCTATATTTATTTCCTTATCTCCCCTTCCTTTCCTTTCTTGCTATCTAGATAATAAGTATATATAAAACCTATATATAAAACCTATATATAAAACCTATATATAAAACCTATATATAAAACCTATATATAAAACCTATATATAAAACCTATATATAAAACCTATATATAAAACCTATATATAAAACCTATATATAAAACCTATATATAAAACCTATATATAAAACCTATAGAAACCTATATAAACCTACAAATCTATAAATCTATAAATCTAAAACCTATTACGATCGAATCTGTATAAGGATTAATAAGAGTATATAAATAGATCCTATAAATCTATTTCGAGCTGATACTAGTTTATATATAATTATAAATTATAGAATTTTCATAATTTAAAAGAATTAATGAAAAGTGTTTATATTATATTATATCTAATTGATTGATTATTAATTTTTTTTTTAATAATTCTTTTCATTTTTTATATAAAGTAATTTATTAATTCTTATTTATTTAGTTATTATTAATATTATTATAATTTTGATAAAAAGAATATCTATAAAAAAAAACTTATATAATATAATTTCAATTCAATTAGATAGAAATATTGATTAATTTCTTTAAAGTATTAATAAAAATATTCAAATAGTTCAATAATAATAATCTGATAATAAATATAACAGAGTATAATATAGAGTTACTATCTGATAATACTTTTTTGAGAGACAAAGGGTCGAGGTCGTAGGTAGATAATTGAAGCCGAGGTAAGTTAGTTGCAACCAAGATGATTGTAGTCAAGGGATTCGGGTCAAAACCCGTCTAGTCTATACTTAAGATCTATACGATCTCAAGACCCATGCGGTCTCAAGAGCCTTGTTCTGAGAACGTGGTGGTCTTGAGAGAAAGTTCTTGAAACCGCATTGGTCTCGAGATCGAATGGGTTTTAAGAACAGACTCACGTGCTGATGGAATGCTGTGACGACAGCAACCGCTGCAGCCTGCATATCTGATACCTCCAATCGCGATTGCGCCGGCTCGGCATAAGAGCCCATCGGCATGACTTCAATCCTCGACCCCACCGCTGTTGCCTAACGGGCGGTTAACATAGACCTTAAAGCCCACATCTTCTCCGCATCTTCCTCTAGAAGAGTCTAGCATATCTTGAGAGGACCATTACTTCTAGTTTTATCCCCTGTCGTGTCCTGATAGCTTGGACCTGTTGCATGTTGTAATCCTCTCAAATCAACCATCACCATCACCATCACCTCACTCTCAACGAGATCATTGCCAGGTATCTGACCTCGTCGTTCAGCTCTATCACGTGACCTTGTTTGTATTCTTCCCTCTTTGACCAAGTATCGTGTTTCTCATATGTATTTACTCAGTGCCACAATGCTTTGTGATGTTTGTCTCAAAGCATTTCCTTCAGCCGAGCCTCTCACATGGACGGCGCCTGAAGATGCTCCATTCGACATGGTCTCTGGCCGCAGGATTTATGAAGAAGCACAATGGGTTCCTCATCATCCAACATTTTTAAGCCTCAAGGCATCCACAGACTCGGGCTGCTTGATATGCAGCGCGTTCTGGATACTTCAGAGGGCCTCCGACATTGCCGCGCAGTTAGCTGCTGAGGCATCCAGTTTCAACATCATCAGGCCAGGGACTCGGTTGTTCATCCACACTTGGATAGAAGGCGATAGTGAGCCAACTGTTTGCCATGAATATAAAGTCCACCATTCGCTTATGATGGACCGATACAAGCCAGAGCAGTCGAACGAGAACGATGAGGACCGGTGTGGTGAAGGAGTCCACGAAGTAGTTCAGCCAAAAAACGATATCCAGTTTAATTCTCACATTGAAATCAGCCTTGAATCGAAATGTGCCTGATGCTCCACATTCAAAATGGGATTATTTCAGGATCGCTAACAAATTCGTAGCCAAATTCGAAGCTGAAAATACATTGCAATGTTCTACAAGCCTTGGATCACCCGAGACATTTTCATTGGCTCGACGCTGGATCCAAGATTGTGCTGAGCATCATCCGGATTGCGGCTCTCTCTCCACACCCACGTGGTATCCTACACGCCTTCTCGACTCTGGGCCGTTAGACTCGGAGGAAAATATCCTGGTTCGTCTTTGCGAAACTGGCTCTTCTACGTCAATTACCAAAGGACCATACATGACTCTTAGCTACTGTTGGGGCTTAGAAGCTCCCTTCACACTTACAAAGCAGACACATTCTGCATTGATGTCCAGTATCCTCTTCAGAAACTGCCACAGTGTTTCCGAGATGCAATCTGCATCTGCCGAGGGGTTGGAGTACGCTATCTGTGGATCGACGCCCTTTGTATATTTCAGGATAAATACGACCAAAGTGACTGGCAACGGGAAGCCAACCAGATGCATCATATTTATTGCAATTCTCTATGTACTATCTCCGCCGCAACGGGTACAGGAAGCTCGTCTCCTATACTCCGATTTCGAACAACAGATACGCTCCGTCAGGACGAATTGATAATCAATTGGCGAAATAAAGATGGCACGACTACCGAAACCACATATCATGTGTATAGCGACAGGCTTTGGGAGAAGCACGTTGTTCACGCGCCTGTCAATAGCCGCGCCTGGGTTCTGCAGGAGCGTATGCTGTCTCCTCGGGTATTGTACTTCGCAGAAAACCAGACCTTCTGGGACTGCTTCGAGAAGCAAGCATGTGAGACTTATCCTCATGGATGGGTCGGTCTTAGGATCTACACCCACGAGGGCAAGAAGTCTTTGCCATCCAAGGACAACGACGGAAGCAAGCCTAGGAGCCAAACATCTCTGAGGCAGCTTCACAAGCAATGGTTCAAGCTTATGGAGACGTACTCAGAATGTCGTCTGACGTACCAAACCGACAAGCTGATTGCAATTTCAGCCATTGCGCGCCGATTCGAGACTTACTTCAACGACGACTACATGGCAGGTATGTGGCGACAGTCACTGGAGAACGATTTGGTCTGGTATGTTTCATTCCCAAAGCGTGAGCCGTCACAACCGGCTGTTTACGTTGCTCCTAGCTGGTCATGGACGTCTACGAATTCACGTGTGTCTATGCCTGGCGGGTCTAGGGTAGGAGGATGGCCTCCAACTAAAAGCGACGAATGCTTCGCCTCCGTGGAAGATGTGCAACTTGATTATACATTTAATGAGAATCATCATGGTTCCCTGCGAGGTGGTCGTCTTCGGCTGAGGGGCATTCTCCAACGTCTTCATCTACAGGGTTCTGAGTTTCCCGACGTGAGTGGTCTCAGCCAAAATGAGATAAAATTCATATCACAGAAGACGGATAAGCACGATGATAGAGTTTTTATCAACGACATACTGCTCGAAACCAACTCGGGCGTTGTCCACTTGGATCGAGATCCGAACAGAGGCTTCGATCAAGAGAACCGCGACGGCGTTCTTTTCTGTATACTGGTATACAAGTTTGGGTCAAGTCATGTGGCGGTACCATGGAACTTGCTGCTGCTTCAAGTGGTAAATGCAGATGATGGTGTATTTCGGCGCCTGGGCGTCATGCATCTTTCGCGGGGAGAAAACATGGAGAGAGCGGCTCTGTCAAGACATGATGCAGAAGCAAACTTTCCTTGCATCGAGTATCGGGATGGAAGGCATTCTATTTGGATAATTTGATGGACTGTGTACGCAGTTCTGTAAATCTTTTGAATATTCGCAAAATTCTACTTTTATTTAAAGTCTTAGCTAATTGTAATCTAGTAATTGCTTTCGCCTTTCTAGTCTTCAGATAAAAATTAAAGAGTAAATTCAGTTAAGTACGATTGTAGGAACTATGATTTTTCATAAAGCTGAATGTTATTTATAAATAAAAATGAAATGTGTTTTTTAAATAGAAGGCCTCAAGTGCAAGTAAGCCTCAAGTGCGAGTAGGCATCGACAACTAAGTGGCTTCCAGGCATATGCTAGGTGGGATGGCGGCAACTAAGAGCGCCACTGCCTTGACTATCATGAGATTTTTGCCAGCTTTTTCCCACTTGAGACTCCTCCTTCTCCTCCTCATCATCATAATAATCATCCTGACATACACATTACCATAATCCTCACATACACATCCTCACAATAAGCATAATCAACATATTAAAAAAAAAAGAACACGCCTATCAATTTAATACCATATAAATACGCATAATCACCCAACTCCGGCTTCTCTCTTGATAAAAAAAAAAGTAAAAGTAAACAAAGCAATGGTTATGCACTACCAACCCACAAACACCATTGTATTGCCTCTCGCACTGTGCTTAACCACTGTCCTTCCTTCCCTGCCCTTCCCTGCTTCTTCCCCGTCTTCTCTTCTCCTGTCCCCTCCTCTATAGAATCAAATCATAAAAGAATTCCTCCATCTTCCCCTTTAACTTCTTCCGCAATCATATCATATCATATTATATCATCGAGCACCTATCTCCTCAAACAACACAACATCCCTCTTCTAGCAACATTTACTTCCACCCCCACTACTTTGACCACCCACATCAACACCTTGTTGCGCCGCCTGATCTATCTTACTCGTATCCACGATTCTCTTCTTGATATCTGCTGCCAAACTGTAAAATGCCTTTTCTACATTAATGTTGCTCTTGGCGGATACCTCGAGGAAAGGAATGCCGAGTTCATCTGCTAATTGTTGACCGCGTTCGGTAGATACAACTCGTTTGTCTTCCCAATCGCACTTGTTGCCTATGAGGATCTTGTTTACACCTTCGGTGGCATGTTGTTCGACGTTGCTGAACCAGGTGCGAATATCTAGACAGGAGTTGTTAGTAAGATTCTTATGACGATTTGTATTTGAACGTTGTCTTGTTTCATCCCCCCTTGCTGCAAAAAAACAGCACTCATCCATTCATCATCCCCTTCGATCTTCCCAGTCCGTACCACGACATGACATGAACCCTTCTCACAAACTTCATCTCCAATCCACGAACAAAAAGGGACAACGTACTTGTAAAAGATCTCTCATCTGTAACATCATACACAAGCAAGATGCCCATGGCCCCCCTATAATACGCCGTGGTGATTGTCCTAAATCTCTCCTGACCCGCCGTATCCCAAATCTGCAACTTCACTCTCTTTCCATCCAACTCAATTGTACGGATCTTGAAATCAATTCCAATCGTGGTGATGAACGAAGGTGTGAAACTATCCTCGCTGAAACGCAAGAGACAGCATGATTTTCCTACACCGGAATCGCCTATCAAAAGGAGTTTAATCTATGTGCACAGAGAGCATGTAAGCATTTGTATATATCTGTGTATTTGCATATGTGTTGGGGATTGAATAGGGGAAGTAGGAGGAAGGTCTTGATTGATAGACCGATGGATGGATGGATTAGAACCTGGGTTCGTAAACAACCTCACCACCCATCGAGCAAACAGACCGTCAATCCAACATACCAAAAAATCGTAATTCCTGGTTCCGGCCATCGTGTCTGAAATCGCACTCGAGTAGGGAGCTCAAGTACAGTCTTTTTGAATATCTGGATAGCCTTGTAAATGCGGCGTTGTCAAATCCACAAGATCTGATCACTTTCGTGCACTTCGTCCGTGTCCTTAGTTTCCTTTTGCTGGGCCTCTTGGTCTGGTCTACCTACACCTGGCACCGAATTCGAATCGTCTACCGTAATGAAATGAGATCGCTGGAAGAAATGTGTGGGGTACAGGGTGCTGTGGGTCGAGAAGAGTTACTTTATTTATCGTGGTGTAAGGGAAGACGTTCCGTTCTGTTTATATCGTATATCGTATATCGTATGTAGAGTAAAAAGGTGATACGAGATATCGATTTCGAGAAGTGCCGGTTTGGACGGGGGTTTCAAGAAGATTCACTTGTACGGACACTTTCTCTTTTCTGCCAGTGTCGTGATTATAATCACAAAACAAAATTAACACCTGCAATTGATGTAATGCGTTAATTCCTACGGTTCTTTCCTAATAAATCTTGGGAGGTGGTTGATAGGAGACCTGGTGGACGGGATATGGATGGTCCGAATTTCAAGATCTTTCAGTATGTACCTACCTAGTCGGGTACATCCGTTGTCCGTTGTTAAACGAGTACGCGGCGTCGCGTCTACTCTGGCGTTTGTCAGCCAATGTTTCTCATCTATCAAGTACATACAGTACCTATACAGAGTCAAGTCTTTGAAAAATGTCACCAAAGAAATATTATGTTATAAAGAAATATGATACTACATTGGATACTTTTTAATACTGACACCTGTAGACCAACCGTCCTGAACCCTTGATTCTCACACCAATCACTAGGTAGATGTAAGGTTACATGCCTAGTGTTCTCATACAGCTTACTCGGTGTTGTTTTAAATGAATGCCAACCACAATTTAGCTAGTGTATATCACACCAAAATTCAACGAAAGTCATCTATTTCAAAATTCAATTATAATTCAATTATGAAGATTTGAAGTATAAAATTCTATAGATATATAGATATTTAATTGAATTTTATAAATATCTTTTCAAATTATAATATTTCAATATGGTTATCAAATTATTTAGAAAATGAAAATATCGAAAGTATAGAAATAAAAATTCGCTTATTTTCAGGCTTTGAAGGCCTAAGGTTAAACCTGAAAAAAGCATTATTTAAAAGAGATTTTTATTCGTTGAAAGTTTTTCAATTTGATTTCAAAAACTTTGAAATTTTGATATTAGATTTTTTCATTGATATTCTATATATCCTCAAAATTTGAAGAATTTAATTATATTGCTTTTTTTAATATCAAATTTTGAAAATACTAAATAAGCATGGTTTTGGGTGAGGAATTCGGCTATAATTGAGGTCGGCATTCATTTAAAACAACACCGAGTATACGATACAAGTTACTCCAAACTCTAAACATCCAGAGCTAGATACATCTAGGACAAGTAAGCTTCAAAGGTTCAAACTTCTAATAGTCGATTCTTCAACTGGTCAAGTGTATCCATATAGTCAATGTTGCGCCCTCTCCTGGAAAAACTAGGTCTGCAGTATCCATATGAATGCAAGTTCCTTCTCATGTCCATTAAAAAAGGGCTTTGTTAGAATTCACCTGCGATACTAGTAATCTTATTACCATGCAACCCTATAAATAACATTTCCAAATATTCACATATCCATACAACAATAATGTACACAAATACGTACGATCAAATCCAGATAACTACTAAATTAGAGTGTTCTCAGTCTTGCGACTAGGTCATCGTTTCTTTATCCATACCATGCCATTCCATCCCGTCATCTAATCATATCATATCATAGCATACAAATACTCATATCAATACCACTCGCTATGCAAATATTGCTTTATCCGTTCTCCATCTTCCTTTCTATACTGTACACTCCACCCAGACTCCGCCTCTCTATCTTCCGCATCCCCCTTCTCCTCTCCCTCCCCAAAACTACCTCAACCACCTCCCATAACTCCACCTAATTCTCTCCAAAACCTTAAGCTGCACCTGAATACCACTATTGATATTACAAAGATCCCCCACGTCCTCCAGAAACTCTCTCTCCACATCCCCAGGAAACAAACTATGAGCTCTCTTCCTCAAAACATGAACTTCACACAACAACAATCCATGATCTTTGTACGAGAGCAAGTTATTCTGCGTAGGCGTAGCAATCGTAAGGATTCGATCGATATTTCTCAAGACCCTCGCAGTTCGCCCCGCCCTTTCACCTCGTCGAAGTCCCTTGCGTGAGCCGAGCAATGTTCCAAAATATCGGAAGGTAGCGAAACAGACCAGAACACCAGGAGTCAGGCCTAAAAAGCCAAAGACAAGCTCTTGACTCTTGAGTAGCGCGTCGATACCACTTAGCGCAACCTCCACATCGACCTTGGTCTTTTGTACCTGGATCAAAACTGTTCTGATTAAGTCTCCTCTGACGGTTCCTACAAATGGTCGTTGCATATCCTTTTCATAAGCGCGAAGAACGGGTGTGAGATCACCTGCCTTGACTTTGGCTTTGATCTCGGTGATTTGTGAATCACTCAAAGCGCCGGTTCCGTAATTTGCGGCTTCTGGATTGTCGCGAGCGAAATCTACCACCATCCTTTCCAGACTTTCCATGTCGCCTCTCAGACTCTCTTTACTCATAATTGCCACTTCACTATCCTTGTCATGACGAATTGTCCCGATGACCTTTAACGTAGGATCAACAACCCAGTTCATCCAGAAATCTTGAATGGTAGATCCAAGTTCTCTGATCCAAGTAAGAACCTCTGCTTTTCTGTTCACCAAGATTCGCAATATAGTCGATGACGAAAGTAACAACATGCTAGCCGGTAACCAGTATCTAACGAGTCTTGAAGGTCGTCCATATTCCGAGACAAGCTTCTGTGAATTCGTAATATGCTTCGGTACATGAGTAGAGAGGATGTGCTGCAATCTTCTCGACACCTTACTCGTCCTTGATGCTTGTGAATTGTCCGCACTCGAAATTTCTGGGTCGTCCTCCACACTGGCAAATACAGTGTCCTCGAAATCCGAAACTCCTTGCTCAAGAGCCGTAACATTGCGAAGCACATTATCCATCAGTGCCACACTCCTCTCCACCACATCTTTCCACTCCGAGTTTTCTGACTCCTCAGCTTTCAGACCCGCACCCTCTTCATCGATATCAAAACTCAACGCTTCATCCATCAAGACTCCCAATCCACTTGCTCCCATCTCCCTAAACCTCTTTAACCTTGCCTGATTCATCTTAGCCTTTGACCTCCCCAACGCAACCGGACTCATAACTCTCTTCTGCACCTCCACCACACTCCTCTCCCTAATACTCTCCCTCACCAACCCATAAAACATACTCCATTGCCCCGCGACTCCCTCTCTCACATCCCTCCCGCCCTTTCTAACCGCACTTCCAGGCGCTTCTTTCAAATGCACCAATCGCTCCCTCGAATCACTATAAATATCCTTCCCCCAATCCCACAACCTCTGCGGCGAAGTCTGTATCGTGTACAGTCCCGAATATGTATATGATCCGAGCACTTCATCCCAATACCAAATATCATCACTTAGCGGAATCGTTTGTTCCAGCAGCGTATTCAATATCAACCCATATGTTTGCACCGTCGCCTTACTAACCAACAACCACTCCAATTCCCTCTCATAGTTCTTCAGATAGGCATTTACACCTGCTCTCCCATTCTTATATTGCCTTTCCTCATCCTCCTCATCATCTTCATCTTCATCCTCATCCTCATCCTCATCTTCAATCTCTTCACTCTGCACCGACCCCTTCAAATCCGCCTGTTCCAACAACCGACTAATCCTCCCACCCGAAAGCAACGCGCCAGAACTCGACGTCGTACTCAATGCCTTAACCAGCGCCTGCAACTCCGCTATGCGCGGCGACGAAGCAACCTTCGCATGTTGCGCGGCCACCAAACTTTCATCTGCGGGGTAAGGGAAGGGAGCGAGTTGGACGCGGTCGAGCTGGGCGTCAACTTTTCGTATTTGGCTATTGCGCAGAAATTGTCAGTACTTTGTCTGCGAAAAATGAACTCGACAGAAATAAATCCAGAAAATGCAAATCCATATACATGGAAAACTCCCAACCAACAAATAGCCAATTCGTGAACTCTCCAAGTTACACCAAAACCCATCTCTCTACCAGAGTAATCCCATCTCATATCTAAATAAACAACCCCTCACACAACCCCACAAACAACCTTCACTCAAAAAAAAACCCCCCCAAAATCAAAACCAAAATCAAAAGCCATAAAACAAACAAAACAGCTCCCCAACCCCATAAATAAATAAATCACGCTCACTCACTCTGCAACAATCGACATCCTGCCAGCACCAACATCGATCGATATACCACTCTTGAAGTACCTAACTGAAGCTCAGAATCGCGATGCGGATGTAATCTTACTTCGTAATGTTCACGACAAGCTCGGGCTCGGGCAAGGCAAGGTTCTAGGATGATATGATATGATTGAGTGTTGGAGAGCTCGCTCGCTTATGTACTCGTATGTACATACGCTGGAAAAATAAAATGACGCAGCGCAGCGCAGCATGGCAGTTTGACAAACGGCTGGTGGGTGGATGAAAACACGGATAATAAATATTGTTTAGATTAGAGTGCATTGTTTCATCATTATGAGTATGAAGAGTACTAGGTATATAGTTTCTGAGGTATAGACAATTACGATATGATAATACAGTATCACGAATTCTCAAAGTGCCAAGATGTAGTATCACGCAGGTGGGAGATGGATGAGAGGGGTTAAAGATTCGAAATATGCACCAGCTGTTACACTTGATAAAGGAGCCGAAAGGCTTTTCTCATATTCAAAATCTAAAATCTATATACTCGATATGCTCTACAAATTCTACACAAATATTTGTACAAAGACCGTTCTAGATCCTCAAAATGAACTTCCAGCGATTAGTTCTGGCTCACACTCGTCTTGCTCATCCGAATTCACGTTTTCGTCTTCAAAATCATCCCAGTTATTAACTTCTTCTCGAGACTGTGATTTCTGTGCATCAAGAGCCATAGCTCTTTCCATGATTTCAAGAGTCTTATTTCTAGCATCCTTCTTATCTTTCTGATCATCACCGCGCATCATTGCAAAGATCGTATGAGCTTCTTCAATAGCCTGAAGAAATGTTTTCAGTCTTGGACTGAGCTCTCTTTTCCGCAACGACGTTCGCGTGTTCTTGAGTATGCCTTTCATACGTGGGTCCGGTACGACTTGATGAACAGACAACATATTTGTGATCCAAACGATTCCTCTGGGTTCTTTCATGCCGATGTAAGCTTTGAGGAGGATCGTAAGATTGATCACATTTGGTCGGACTGTTGCGCTATGAGTCTGCGAGACTTCTGTCCAGAATGCTATTGCATCTCGAAAGTATCCATTTCGGACAAGGATATTAGTAACTTCATTGAACACAGGTTCTGGCACAATAAGCCCATGCTCCTCCGCCTTGGTGATTGCTTCTCTGACAGAAGTCAAGAACATAATTAGACGACTGCTTCCGACGCGCTCCATGAAGCTTGGTAGTCGGTGAGTGAGGAGCGTAACAAGAGCATCATCCAACAAATAGCCTTTCCGTTTCGCGTCT